GGTTATACTGGGGGGGGGGAGGGGAGGGGATAAAGTAGTAATTTTTAAAAAGCCTAAGAAATATCAAAAACAGAACTGTTGTGTACAAGCATTTCAGAAGCAGCAGCAGAAAATGGATTAAACTGCTTCACTTCTAATACATACTGACTGGTCTGTTTGCAGACCCTCAAAAACTTAACACTATAACAAGTGACAAAACAAGAAGCAACTTCTGACAATAAGTTTGGACCATAGAAAAAAGCTGTTTAGATATGTACAAGTTATTCTTCAAAAATCAGTTTTATTACATTGGGGCATGTATACAACCTGCTTTTCCTTTAATGTTCAGGATACTGGAAATGCTTGACATTATCCCCCAAATCCAGTTGAGGCTGTCCTGAGAAGAATTTAAGTGCTCATATATAAATTGGATGATACTGTCTGTGACTGAGTTTTTTCCTACAAGTTGGGCAAGAGTTAGCATTTCTAAGGGAGTCACGGAGGCACTGACTGCAGAAAACATGACCGCATTTGGTTGCCACAATAAGTCGTCCACTCTGTATAATCTAGAAGGGAAAAAAAGAAAAATGAATTTGAAGCATACAGAACTTGAAACTTGGTTTTACAGAAGAATCACATTACAAACCTCACATGAAAGCAAGTAGTTGCCAATGTATGCCAGCTACAATACCGTTCAGTGATTTTAAGTCTGTACATTTAGACCAGGGGTCAGCAAACCCCGGCACTTGTGCCAGAAAGGGTATCTGAGGCCATTTGGCTTGGCACACCACTGCCACCTTAGGCTCTAGGCAGCTGCTGCCAGCCACAAAGCCCGGGCTGCTCCCAGCAGGTGGCTGCAAGCAGCCCGGGGGCTCCGTGGTTGGCAGCAGCTACCTAAAGCCTGGGCTGGTTGCAGCCAGGAGGCTGCAAACATCTGCTCCGGGCTCTGGCATCAGCTCCATACCGGCAGGCGGGCACGCACATGCCTTGGAGCAGATGGTGTGGGAGGGGTCCGAGGCAACCCTGGCCTCTTCCCTACTGCCAGCACATCGCTGATGACTGGGCTCCAGAGCCTGGCACAGCTGTATGCAGCAAGCCTGCAAACAGCTGCGCCGGGCTCCACAGCCCCAGCATTGGCTCCATGCCGAGCCAACGGCAACTGCACGCGCACCTCAGAGCGGACAACAGGAGGGCTATGCCGCCTCAGGCC